GTGTGTGTGTGTGTGTGTCTTTAAGCATGTGACCATTAGGCATCCACTCTCCTCACACTCTCTGTCTTCAGTTAGTTCACAATCATTATCAGACCAATCCATAACTGAAGCTTAAAAATCATTACAAACCCATTTACTGGTCTTTACTCACTACCTGGCATTACTACAGATGTAATTATTATATATTATTTTATATTTCATGTTCATGTGGTAAGGAGTACATTTTCCCTACACTTCCTCCAAACAGCCATCCATTTAAACCACAACTCCATGCACTAAATATTCAGGAGTTTAAGGGTCAGTGTTGCAGAACAACATCAACTTTGTTGTTATTACAGTTCAAATCCACAAAGGAAACGTCTGAATGACATGATATGAAAACGGTTCAGCAAATGTGGAGCTTCATTTTCTAAACTGAGACAATGCTGATTATATGATATAACAGTGATAATAAGTAATAGAAGCATTACAAAATGCTTTAAATATCACATTAATATCAATTAAGCTGAAGAGGAGTTTACAGAAAGCTCAGGAAAAACAGTGCTATAAGAAGAGCTTCATTTAGGATTGTTGTTTCAAATTCATCCTCCTTCTCCAGTCAGTATGTATATGTATATGTAAATATATGTATCACTTCAATTCACACACACATGTGTGCATCCTTGAGTATGTGGTAATACGACAAGTGATCTAAACTCTCGGGGACCTGCTTATCAATACATTGCTCCTCTGCACCTCTAGTGGTCAAAAGGGCAATTATGTTACCTTATACCTTATGTTATCTCGTTATTTATTTCACCCGAGAAAGGTTTTCTTTACAGTTTACTTTTCTTAACTGTAAATGTGTTTTTTGATTTTTTCCACTGTGTGTACTCTCAAAAATAATTCTTTTGAACTTAGTTTACACAACAGTTAATTCCTGTCATACCAACCCTTTTGGAATGTGTTCACACTAATTCTTCAGTCTCCTTCTCTGTCTCTTTTCTCTTGAATCCACTCAGAACGTCTCTTTTGGGAACCAGTTTTGTTTGTGATCATTTCTTAGCTATTGTCATATCCATTTCTTACTTCCCTCTCTCTCTTTCACTTTGTCTCATTGTCTCTCTCTCACACATCCGTCTGTTTACTTACATCAATGCCATTCTCTCCTGGCACTCCATCAGGACCTGGTTCTCCTGGCTCTCCCTTTTGCCCCTAAGTTAAAGCAGACACACTGTTGTTGATAACTAAAAACAAGGACACATACATCAAACTTTAAACATCTTTTATCAATGTAACATCCAATACACAGCAGAGTGTAAACTTACTGGTGGTCCAGGGGATCCAGGAGGTCCTTGGTCTCCCTGCAGAGAGATGGAGTGAAGATTTCATTTGTGGGAGAATGTTTCATCTGACATGGAAGACGTTCATAACACTTACAAACATCTTTTTGTTTTATGCAACTTTTTAAGATGCTGTCCTCTCAGTGTAAAACATCTGACAGCTGTGTTTTGTATGATTAACTAAAGTTAAATACATAATATAAAGAAATGACCAAGACTCTATACACTTTGGGGGAATCAAAACATGTTTTTAGTTTTCTTTTTTTAAAATAAAGTTTGGACTCTTCTTTAGGTTGATGTCCTTGCTGCTCCAGTGTGGGAAACATAGTTTAGAAAATGGACCCTCAGTGGATCTGTGATGAAAGTGGTGCAATAAAGTTTGAGATTATGCACATTTCTTCATAGCTCAAACATATAAGATGAAACCTATCAAGTGTTTAATTACATGTGATTTTGTATCACCATTAAAAACCAAAGCTTCACTGCAGCCTGGCCCTTACAGGATGTTTGTTTCTTGCACCACTGCAGCATAATTATACATATGTATTCAACCTGTGTGTAGTTAACCCCGAGAATATCTCAAATGTATCACGTTACTGGGACACAAACTCAGGATTGAGCTGAGGGTCCCCCCTCAAAGACCCCTCTCTCTGCTGGGAACAGAGAGCTTTTGTGCCAGTGTGTTTTCATTTGCAGTGCCCTCTGCTGGTAAGACTCCGGTCCTGCGGAGTAGCAGGGGCTTTGGTATTTCTGTGGTACAATGACCATCTTTGTGACAGACCTGTTGGGCAAACCTGTGTGGATACTCACATCAATGCCGTCTGACCCAGGAGTGCCAGAGGGGCCTGCTGGGCCGGGCTGGCCCTGAGGTCCAGGTGGACCCGTCTGAAACACACACAGACACACACGTTTAGATTACGTGACACTTTTTATCATAAAAAACAATATTATAAGTGCAATATCCAGTAGAAACATAATATGGTGATAATTAAATCAATAATTCCAAATGTTTCAATC